AGAAATTAGAGAAAGTGCAAAGGTTTGCAACAAGACTAGTTCCTGAGCTAAGGGGAATGTCCTACAAAGAAAGGTTAAGGGAAATCGGTCTGACAACACTGGAGGACAGGAGGGTCAGGGAAGACATGATAACAACATACACAGTACTGCGAGGAATAGATAAGGTGGACAGAGACAGGATGTTCCAGAGCTGGGTCACAGAAACAAGGGGTCACAATTGGAAGCTGAAGACTCAGATGAGTCAAAGGGATGTTAGGAAGTATTTCTTCAGCCATACAGTTGTCAGGAAGTGGAATAGTCTGGCAAGTGATGTAGTGGAGGCAGGAACCATACATAGTTTTAAGACGAGGTATGATAAAGCTCATGGAGCAAGGAGAGAGAGGACCCAGTAGCGGTCAGCGAAGATGCAGGGCCAGGAGCTGAGTCTCGACCCCTGAAACCACAAATAGGTGAATACACACACACACACACACACACACACACACACACACACACACACACACACACACACACACACACACAATGTTCCAGAGATGGGACACAGCAACAAGGGGACACAGTTGGAAGTTGAAGACACAAATGAATCACAGGGATGTTAGGAAGTATTTCTTCAGTCACAGAGTAGTCAGGAAGTGGAATAGTTTGGGAAGCGATGTAGTGGAGGCAGGATCCATACATAGCTTTAAGCAGAGGTATGATAAAGCTCATGGTTCAAGGAGAATGACCCAGTAGCGGCCAGTGAAGAGGCGGGGCCAGGAGCTATGACTCGACCCCTGCAACCACAACTAGGTGAGTACAACTAGGTGAGTATTCACACACTAAAAAAAAGACAGCTAAAAAAAGCGTAAAGATTTGTCACCATACTAGTCTGGAAGCTGAGGGTCACGAGCTACGAAGGACTAACGCTAGTCTGGAAGAGCGAAGAGGATATGATCACAACATACAAAATAATGAGGAAAGAGGAATATATATTATAGTCATATGTACAAATACAAGCCTATATATTGCGCTACCATCAGGTTGCTCCATCTTAGACTGAAAATACTGCTGTGCAGGAGAAACTTTGTCGGAACAAGGGTATTCTCATATATTACTGATAGAAGGTAAAGTTATCTACTGTTCCTTGGATAAAGAGACCTTCACCGGCATCAACGGACCCCTCTTAAGGGATATATAAAGTAAAGCGTCACGCCCTGTTGTGGGTGGCGCTGGGACGTGGGCTGAGGGCGGCCTGAGGCTCCTCATAAGTTGGAGTGACGAACACTGTGTGTGTGTGTGTGTGTGTGTGTGTGTGTGTGTGTGTGTGTGTGTGTGTGTGTGTGTGTGTGTGTGTGTGTGTGTGGTTGCAGGGGTCGAGACTGTGTGTGTGTGTTTGTGTCTGCTGGTGTGTATGTACTACCTATTTGTACTTACCTATGTATTTATGGTTGCAGAGGTCGAGTCACAGCTCCTGGCGCTTCTTCGCTGGTCACTACTAGGTCCACTCTCTCCCTGCTCTATGAGCTTTATCATACCTCTTCTTAAAGCTGTGTATGGATCCTGCCTCTACTACGTCACTCTCCAGACGGTTCCACTTCCTGAAAACTCTGTGACTGAAGTAATACTTCCTAATGTCCCTGTGACTCGTCTGAGTCTTCAACTTCCAGTTGTGATCCCTTCTCGCTGTGTCCCATCTCTGAAACATCCTGTTACTATCCATCTTGTCAATTCCTCTCAGTATTTTATATGTCGATATCATGTCCTCCCTATCCCTCTTGTCCTCCATTGTCGTCAGGTCTATTTCCCTTAAAACTTCTCCTCGTAGGTCATGCTCCTTAACTCTGTGTGGCATGCAAAGAGTATGTTACAATTTATTCGGCATATGTCACGCTTCCATATAGGCTGCCTCCCAACCAGCAAACCATGTGCTAAGGGTTTAACAGTTGATGGGTACCCGTAGTTAAATCAGTACCTTGGTTCATTAACCAATCACAAGGAAGCCTCTCAAAGCAAAGCTGAAGCAACGTGGTTCACTTGCGGGAAGTATTGGCAGACTTGAGTACGGTGCACTCTCTCTGGCTTCTGCTTTGTCATCTCTCACCGTGGTGTACACTTATTATTATTCTATCTGCACATATTGTACATAGTATATATATTTGTATATAGTGGGTGAAGGCAAAATATACATTATAGTCTACTGCTGAGTTTGTTTTCTCCAATTCCCATTACGACCAGGTCTCACAGGCCATTCTTTACCTTTGTTCGTAATACTCTGGGATTAGTCTTGTTCAAAACTTTTGTACGTTGTCACAAACTTTTGTACTTTCTCTAATTTCTTGACGTGCTTGACCAGGTGTGGGTTCCAAACTGGTGCTACATACTCCAACATGGGCCTGACGTACATGGTGTACAGTCTTGAACGGTTCCTTACTGAGGTGTTGGAACGCTATTCTTAGGTTTGCCAGACGCCCATATGCTGTAGCAGTTATTTGGTTGACGTACGCCTCAGATGTGCTGTGAGTGTGTGTGTACTCGCCTAATTGTGGTTGATTCATGTTTGTGTGTGTGTGTGTGTGTACTCGCCTAACTGTGGTTGCAGGGGTCGAGACTCAGCTCCTGGCCCCGCCTCTTCACTGATCGCTACTAGGTCCTCTCCCTCTCTGCTTCCTGAGCTTTGTCATACCTCTTCTTAAAACTATGTATGGTTCCTGCCTCCACTACTTCACTTGCTAGGCTATTCCACTTCCTGACGACTCTATGACTGAAGAAATACTTCCTAACGTCCCTGTGACTCGTCTGAGTCTTCAGCTTCCAGTTGTGACCCCTTGTTTCTGTGTCCCCTCTCTGGAACATCCTATCTCTGTCCACCTTGTCTATTCCCCGCAGTATCTTGTATGTCGTTATCATGTCTCCCCTGACCCTTCTGTCCTCCAGTGTCGTCAGTCCGATTTCACTCAACCTTTCCTCGTACGACATTCCCCTGAGCTCTGGGACTAGCCTTGTTGCAAACATTTGTACTTTCTCTAACTTCTTGACGTGCTTGACCAGGTGTGGGTTCCAGACTGGTGCTGCATACTCCAGTATGGGCCTAACATACACAGTGTACAGTGTCTTGAACGATTCCTTATTAAGGTATCGGAACGCTATTCTCAGGTGTGTGTGTGTGTGTGTGTGTGTGTGTGTGTGTGTGTGTGTGTGTGTGTGTGTGTGTGTGTGTGTGTGTGTGTGTGTGTGTGTGTGTGTGTGTATTAATGTCTGCATATATTCATCGCAGCTCCTGTCCCATGCCTCTTAACCTTCAACCCTCCTGGCCTCATGGGCCCTATTATACTGTTGCAACCCCTGAATGGGTTGCAATATATATAATGTATATAATGATTATGTATATATATAATTATTACCTTTTCATATAATTTTATATTGCTTATATTTGCGATAATAGCTAAATCGTAAATATATTGCTTTATATTATTATTATTTGACTTAGCTAAATTTTGTGAGGTAGGATGTAACATACTATGTGCTCAGTTCAAGTCTTGATTGTCTAACTACTGTAATTATCGCTTGAGGCTCGTTAGACTGCCGGCTTCTCATTGTTGCTGGGCAGCAACCCACGGAGCTATCACGTGATCGAGGGGGATGGGGGTGTCCTCACCTCGCCTGAAGTATTCAGTCTGGTCTAGACTCTCTTGGTGGTTGGACAGATTGTCTGTCTCATTATTCTTGTTAGTTCTGTAGAACTCTGTTCACAGAACATTGTATAGACTTAGTGATTTTCGACGTTGTACTGAGGTTGTGTGTCACATAGACACTCGAAACATCTCAGGTCCTGAGCTGTAACTTCTCACTTAACTTGTACTGGTATCTGTGTATTATCACAGTCGGGGATTTTCTTATGCTGAACTTAGATTCAGTATTATGGGAGTTTTGTGACTTTTGTGGAGGATCTGCAGATGGTCCCTACTTAGTGTCGTTATATTATCTCCTTGTTCCTGATTCTGTGTCGCAGTTGCTTGTTATATTGCTATTGGACTTAGCATTCGTTTTATTGCTCAAGCAGACTGTTCTGGTTGCCAGTCGGTCAAGAAGTTAGTTTATTTGAGGACTTTGTCAGTCACTTGTTTAATTCTAGTCGAGTCTTGAGACATAGCGAACTACTTAGAGCACTTACACACATACACACAAACTTACTTGTACATATTTGTAATATCTTATTAAATGTTAATGTACCAGACGGTACTTAAGAATTATAAATGTGATATGTGCTTTCAGCACAATAATATTGTACTCAAGAGAAGTGATATTATTTTGATTACTGTGATTAATTTAATTTAATTTAATTTGATAATATACCTCTAGACTTAATAAATTTATTAAATTTTAATTTCTCTAGTTAGTAGCCTACCAGTTGTAATCCTGAAGCACTATTGAATCATACTGAATTCTAATGGATAATTGGACAAGGATACTGACTACTTGTTACGAAAACCCAGTAACAGGCTGGATGCTAGAAGGGCAGTCCTTTCTAGTATTCACTGGAGATCTCTAAGCTTTTAGAATCGCGTTTTTTGTAACATATACTGACTCTTGAAAATGTGTATGGAGTTTGCCTCCAGCATTTCGTCTGGTTCAATTCCAATGAGACTTCAGAAACATTTACAAACGTCCCAGTATCTGCCTGAGGGACGCCACCTGTTACTGTTTCCCGGCCTGATGCGTCTTCTCTTACTTCCGTGGGGTAATGCAGCCAAATGACATTCTTTCAGCAAAATCTTGTTCCTCAGCGTGTCTTCATGGCTGGGTAATGTGAGTAAATCGGATCTTGATCGAGAAAAAAACTTATGTTCAGCTCATCTGTTGACTTGTTAGTTGTTGCGACGAGAGTTCCGTCTGGAGCCACAGGCAAGGCGCCAGCCAGCCCCTCCTAGCGTCCAGACCTACCCATGGGCTCCCATCCATTCAGGGGCTACCACCCACGCAGTATTTATCAGGCTATCGCTGATTATATGTATTAAACGAGTTTACAGTTCTCTTACCTAAAGAACAACTCCAACCGATAAGCCTAGAACAGCCCACATCAGCATCGCGCCCACACTAACACCCACGCCAACACCAGATAACCACGCCTACACCAACAGCCACGCCACAGGAGGGGGTGAAGGTCATGACGTGATCACGTCCGGGTGATAGGTAAGTGTTGGGGAGTATTAAAGTTAAAAACTGTGTATGTATGTGTGTACTCACCTATTTGAGGTTGTAGGGGTCGATTCACAGCTTTTGGCCCATCCTTTTCGCTGGTCGTTACTAGGTCAGTTCTCTCCCTACTCCAAGAGCTTTATCGTACCTCTTCTTAAAGCTGTGTATGGTTCCTGCCTCCACTTCACTCTTTAGATTGTTCTACTTCCTGACAACTCTAAGGCTGAAGAAATACTTCTTAACATCCCTATGGTTCATCTGACTTTTCAGCTTCCGATTGTGGCCCCTTGTTGCTGTGTCACATCACTGAAACATTTTGTCCCTATCCACCTTGTCAATTCCTTTCAATATTTTATATGTCGTTATCAAGTCCTCCCTATCCCTCCTGTCCTCCAGTGTCATCAGATTGATTTCCTTTAACATCTCATTGGACATACCTCTTAGCTTTTCCTGCAAACTTTTGCACTTTCTCCGATTTCTTGATGTGCTTGACCAGGTGTGGGTTCCATACCGGTGCTATACTTGCGTGTGTGTGTGTACTCATCTAATTGAGGTTGCAGGGGTCGATTCATAGCAGTATGTGTGTGTGTGTGTTTGTTTCGAGAGGGAAGGAAGGAGGACGAATGACCTTAGAGATGCGTGACGCAGGTAAAACTGTTATTGTCAACAGTGGTACGTTACGCTGCAGTTGGACTGGGTGGCGACGTTAATGATGATATAAGGTTTGAACCAAATTGTTGTTTTAGGGTACTCTCCCATAAAGGCGAGTCTTGCTTACTCTGTCGTGTTTTGATATTTACAAACATACACACACACACACACACACACACACACACACACACACACACACACACACACACACACACACACACACACACACACACACACATTCCAACAACAGGCCGAATATTTTCAACAATAACTTTTAATAGATAATATGTAGCACACATGAAAGCCAACACAAGATAAGAGGTAAGCTAGCTGGAGCTCTAATGATGATTGTTAGCACAGAAAGAAGCTGAAAACAATTTAAAATGAACATAGCAGCCAACACAGATGATAAATGAGACACATAAGCAGGTGTTCAGTACATATGTGTTTTATTCATTTCCATTTTGGTATTATCTATCTTTAATTTAGTGATAGCCAAGGCAGATATAACCAGGGTATTTGTGATTTTGTTTTGAATTAGTATCCTAGCACCACCCAGAACATCTTAATTTTCAAGATTCTTAGTAATTTATTTTTTTTTATTTAGTTATTAGGACTGTGTAAGTTTTTTTTTCTTTGGTTTTCTTTATCATACCCATATCCTTTTATTTTTTTTGTTTATGTGTGGCCAACCCTAGTGCTGATATATACTATCCTTTCAAGTAACGTATACACTATGAAGCTTGTCTGCATAACTAAAGTTTTTCATTAATGTTTTTTATGGAATTTTGTGTTGATAATCTTTTGTCTCATATTTTTAATTTCATGTAGGTTTTTTTCGTTTTCTCGCAGTTCGATCAAGTGGAAGTTTTCTACCCTCAGTTATGTCAAACATCTGTCACTTCACTCACTCAACTCATCCAAGTCTTTTTGTAGGAATTTAGTCATTGTTATTTCTTATTCTGCGCATTTTATTTCCAGGGGTGTAAGTAAGACTGTCTTCGGGGAGTCACACAGATTGTAAGCCCCACTTAATTCATTTCAAGAAACAAGGCGAACACAGTATACATACACTTAAATGCCACGGTAGAATAAGAGTGCGGACACTAAGAAGGACAAAAATTAGTCTCGGATGACTTGCTTCTAAAGTTAAGACAATCGTTGGTATACAAGGGGTTACATTAGCTTTATGACTTGACACGACCCAAAATTACACATTCAGGTATAAGTCTTAGTCAAACTGCATACTCAATCTTATTAAGATTAAATAGACAGGTAAGAGAAGGAGATTATGGTAGATCAAAGACTCGAGGCGAGCAGGTTCGGCTCTCAGGGAAGGAGAGGGCTTCTGGTAACCAGTTAATCCCATGGATATTCCCCTGTTTCTCTTCCCTCTACATATCATCCACCCCTTTTTATCATCTTCCCCTCCGCTACTTCCCTCCCTCACTCGTTATACATGACATCCATCAACGGAGAGTAATTGCTTAAAATACCTGAAAGAAAAAACTGAAAGTCAGGCTAATCTCACCGCAATGCGCACCGTGAAGGTCGCTTCTCACTTGTTTGTCACGATTAACAAGACAGTCAGCTTGGCGTCACGGACTCCTCTATCTGCTGCTACACAATGCTTAGAAGTGCAATTTCTAGCCTGAGGTGCCGTTATCCCGCAGGGTCAGGGCCTCGAGAGGACTCACTGGAGGTATAAATCTGAGTGATAGAGAGTGTACCACCGCCAGACAGCTTCCTCCTCCAGGGTGGGTCTCACCTTCACACCGACGCCACTGCAGCCGACATGATCACACCTGTGAGTAGCTTGTGCTTTAATGTCCCCTCAAGGAAGGTTCCTTGATGTTGGTGAGGGGCTCTTGATTTAGGGAATTGGATCTGTGCTCCAGTTCCCCGAATTAAGCCTGAATGCCTTCCACATCCCCCCCAGGCGCTGTATAATCCTACGGGTTTAGCGCTTCCCCTTAATAATAATAATAATAATAATAATAATAATAATAATGTGCTTTAATGTGAAGGTTAATAAATTTATTATTTGTTCACTCTTCTTACAAAGAGAGATGGTTGTTAAAGAGTATCTGCACGTGCATACACGTTAACCTGGTAGAAAGTGCTATGAATTCCGTCATTTTTTTTTTTTTTTTTTAGATTTTACTCTGGTGTTAGTTTATTGGGCAGTGCCATTCGTCAGTCACTAGAAAACGATAAATAAGAGGGGATACAATAAGACAAAAGCCTTACTTGGATTAATAACGCTGAGAATTAATAATCCAGGATAGCTCAAGTGACCTAACCAGTTTTTTTTTTTTCCACTTGATTCCTTTGGTTGTCTTCCTCGCGACCCATAATAGTTAAGAATTAGTACCTATTTACTGCTAAGTGAATAACTGCATCAGATGTTAGAAGACTTATCTATAGGCCTCGTCCCTCCCAGAAATTTCAGTTGTGAGCCAAATTTGCTATCAGCGAGTTATAAGGTACCACACGTGCACCATGTGGACATAATACACTCAGGAGAGAACATTGACAATGTTGGAGTCTTTACCAAAGATGTAAGAAGAGCAAGACAGATGGAACTTTCATACCAAGTGAGCCACTGGGATGAAAAAAAAAAAAAACAATTCTTTGACGTAAGAGTGGAAAAGAGTTGGAATGAATTGAAAAGTGTAATGGTGGAAGCGGATTTTATATAGGTATTTCAAAATTTATATAGTGGCAGAACTAAGAGCTAGAGCTCACCCTCCTGGAAACTCAAAAATAGGTAGCTGCAAATCTGTTGGGATTCTAAATGAACGCATAATGATTACGCGTGTGTGCGCGTACGCACGCGTTCATGAGGGAATAAGATACGCACATTACGCAAGACTGAGTACATACGTGGGCAGAGAGTAGCGTTGTAACAGGTTTGTGATTTACCAGTGATGTACGTGTAGCCGGTTCAGAGTTCTACTCTTGCAGCTTGTTGCATCACAGGTAAAAAAAAATTGCCTTGTCTCGAAATCATTGATTATGTTTACAGCTAATCTGGTTTTAAGAAAATATTTAGTGTGTTTACTATCCCTTAATGTATATCTGGTGACTGGTGTGCACTGTGTTTGCTGACCAACATTCACTGACTATTGTTTACTGACTTGGCTACTGACTTGTTTACTGACTTGGCTGGTATAAACCTTGGTAATAAATACCGACAAGTTGGTTTAAAAAGACACGTAAGCAAACACTATAACATATTTATTAGAAAACGTTTCGGTCCTGGGGCCGAAACGTTTTCTAATAAATATGTTATAGTGTTTGCTTACGTGTCTTTCTAAACCAACTGACTTGGCTACTGACTTGTTTTCTGACTTGGCTACTGACTATTGTTTACTGGATATTGGCCACTGATTATTGTTTACTGACTATTTGCCACTGACTGTTTCCGTCTACACTGTTGTTGGGAATATTAAAGAAGGCAAGTTGTCTTTTCGGATGCCCAGTCATGTGTGCAGTTTACCTAATGATGCTAATGATTTAAATCATCCACGAAGGCATAGAAATTTTGATTGTGTAGAGCGAAACACCAACGTCAAAGACCTGGGAGTGATCATGTCGGAGGATCTCACCTTCAAGGACCATAACATTGTATCAATCGCATCTGCTAGAAAAATGACAGGATGGATAATGAGAACCTTCAAAACTAGGAATGCCAAGCCCATGATGACACTCTTCAGGTCACTTGTTCTATCTAGGCTGGAATATTGCTGCACACTAACAGCACCTTTCAAGGCAGGTGAAATTGCTGACCTAGAAAATGTACAGAGAACCTTCACGGCGCGCATAACGGAGATAAAACACCTCAATTACTGGGAGCGCTTGAGGTTCCTAAACCTGTATTCCCTGGAACGCAGGAGGGAGAGATACATGATTATATACACCTGGAAAATCCCAGAGGGACTAGTACCGAACTTGCACACGAAAATCACTCACTACGAAAGCAAAAGACTTGGCAGACGATGCAACATCCCCCCAATGAAAAGCAGAGACCATACAATAAGTGTCAGGGGCCCGAGACTGTTCAACTGCCTCCCAGCATACATAAGGGGGATTACCAATAGACCCCTGGCAGTCTTCAAGCTGGCACTGGACAAGCACCTAAAGTCGGTACCTGACCAGCCGGGCTGTGGCTCGTACGTTGGTTTGCGTGCAGCCAGCAGTAACAGCCTGGTTGATCAGGCTCTGATCCACCAGGAGGCCTGGTCACAGACCGGGCCGCGGGGGCGTTGACCCCCGGAACTCTCTCCAGGTAAACTCCAGGTAAACGCAAAGAGATTGTTACTGGCTTGGCCACTGACTATTGTTTGCTGACTGGTGTTTGCTAATTGTATTCGCTGACGAGGCTTGTGTCGTGAGCGGACGTGACTTTTTTTTCACTCTTATTGAGTGCATTTCAAGTTGAGTTGTGGGTCCCATTACTGATTTTCTTCCATGTGTTGTAGCGTGTTGTATGCGTCATCGTGGTGGTGGCAGTTGGGGTCCACGCTGAGGGCCCTCACAGCAGCCCACACCCGGCGCCGGCAGCCCACGCAGTTGCGGGTCCGTCCCCCACCATCTTCCGTGAGTCTGTTGTCAAGTCGAAGAGTGTGGGTACCGGCAAGGGGATCCCGAACGACCTTGGGGTTCACGGCGGTTCAGCAATTCATGATACTTCGGCCCATGGTCCAGTGTCCCATGGCGATTCAGTGTTCCGTAGTGGTCCAGTGTCACATGGTGGTGGAATGTTCCATAGTGGTCCAGTGTCACATGGTGATGCAGTGTTCCACAGTAAACCAGTGAAGCTTGGTGGTTCAGTGTCCCATGCTCCAGTGTCACATGGTGATGCAGTGTTCCCCAGTGAACCACTGAATCATGGTGTTTCAGTGTCCCACGCTCCAGCGAACCAAGGTTACCCAGTGACCCACAGTGGTTCTATAGTCCACAGTGGCCCACTAGTTCACAGTGGTTCAGCGGTTCATGGTAGTCCAATAACTCATGGTAGTCTAGTGTCTCACGGTGATTTATTGGCATTTGGTAGTCCAGTTCTCCACGGTGGTTCAATGGTTCCGGGTGGCCTGGTGTTCCACGGGGGTTCAGCCGTTCATAGTGGCCCAATAGTTCACGATGGTTCAGTGGTTCATGATGGTTCAGTGTCCCATGATGCATATCGGGCTCCAGTGATCCACAAAACGACAGTAATTCATCAGAATCCGATCCTAAAGACAGACGATCATGGACCAATAGTTTCAGGTCCAGCGGTCCACGCTCGAATAGCTGCCCCTGATGTTCCCGTAGCTGCTGGTCCGGTGATCTCCGCCCCTGTGGTTCACAAGGCTCCATCTGTGTCCTACTCATATGGGCGGCCTCAGCACGCTCCAGTGCTCTCCCAGTACCAAGCTCAGGATAAGCTCGGCCAGTACTCCTTCGGGTATAACGCTGGCGACTCTGCCCGTGACGAGAGCCGTGATGCTTACGGTAACGTCCGCGGCTCCTTCAGCTACGTCGACGACTACGGTAAAATTCAGACACAGCACTACGTCGCTGATGGCTACGGCTTCCGTGTAGCCGGCACGAACTTGCCCGTTCATGTCACTGAGGTGCCATCTTACCGCCACAAGCGCTCCTACGCCACCTTCCCCGCCTCAACTGGACCTCTGGGATCCGACGCCTACGGTGGCCCTATCACGACTGTCAGTCGCGTCGTGAACGGCCCCGTCGTAGTGAGCCAGCCTGATCCCCACGGGAGCTCATATGGCCATGACAGCTTTACCCTCGGTAGCTCCCTCCACGGTGTCTCCACTTCCTACAGCGGGCCTTCGGGCTACGACACAATTGGCAGAGTTTCTAGTCTCCTCGGCGATTCAAACTTACACGGCAATTTTAACCGCTACGGCAAAAACGGATATTCCTTTGGGTTCGAGACCGGCCCGTCCTCACTAACCACCTACGGTACTCACTTCGATCAACAGAACCGAAGATACGGCGCACACTAGATTTCACGAGGGAAGTCCTTTGTTGTCTCCCATGACGGGGAGATGGACTCAGCGTGACGAACTCCGGTGATTGGTGAAGTGACTCCTGGCGTATGGAACATATAGCTGAACCTCATTACCAAGTGTATTGTCTCTTATTATATAATCGATACCTTATTATATGATTTCTGAACACTGTACATAGTTTTTCTATAGGTTCTTATGTATGATTCTGATTTTCAATCCGGACAATTATTTCCTACTCATGATTAGATTAGATGTTCACAACTTTTGTAAGTGAGATTCAGCTAATGTTAACCGTATTAGATAATATATTATATTTTTTTTATCATTTGCTCTGCCAGAATTATATTGAAACCTCTGTGTTATACGGGTTTAGTGTTTTTTCTCTGATTACAAAAATATCGAAGCTCTTGTTGAAATTAGCATTCCGTACAAAACAAATTACTGAGATAATAAAAAATCTACTAATTCTGGATTTTTTATTAGTCTACATAGGTTATTGTGTGCATGCCTTTTGGGAACCGACCAATCGCGTCTGCTCTTGGCCTAGGTTATGTGGCATCGGTAGCCGAGTGGACTAAAGCACTGTGTTGATTCTTCTGGACAGGAAGTTAATATAGGCTAGAATTCGCACGCTGAGTGAGATACGTATGTCAATATTTTGGTCGTCTCTGCGAGGCACAAGCACGTGTGTGTGTGTGTGTGTGTGTGTGTGTGTACACACGAGCTGTGAATCGACCCCTGGAACCACATAGGCGAGTGCAAACACACACACACACACACACACACACACCATGCTGCCTCAACGGCCTCACATCAAAGCAGGGCGACCCAAAGAAGATAACACATTCACTATCATTCATTCAGTCGCTGTCTTGCCAGAAGTTTGCTACGACATCCTCACCCTGTCCTTCAGAGTGCAGAAGAGAGAGAACGAAATGTCGATTGTTTTCTTCAACTCGACCATACGGTCAATGGATGTTCTTCGATGATGGCGAGTTCCTCCTTATCCAAGGAATTGGACCTGCCCTCCGCTTCCATGGTTCAAACCTGAATGCTTAGAACTGCTCCATGAATGCTTTAACAATAATGATCTTCAACTACACCTTATTTTAGGAGATACTTTATTCTTGGGTATCACTAAGTTAATGGATACATTAAATAACATGTCCAAAGCTGTTTCTGAATTTATATTTTAAATAATTTATGCAGATCCTCCGTGCTAGGGACTGTGTCTACGATACATCACACTTTGCTTCATTGCAACACTGAGGTACTAGAACAAAAAAAAAAAAAAAAACTGCTTTGGGAGCCTTGGTTTCCTCGCTGAGTTCTTTAATCTCGTTTTTTAAACCAGTGAGAGGAAGGCATAGTTATCAGCAAGTTATTTGTATTTACTAAAGCTTGGGAATCTGTGACGCACCACCTGTTTCTCTGATCAAGGTAAGTGCCGGCATGTATAAATGAGCATGCCTAGTCCCTCACCATCTTTTATGTTTAATACTTAAGTTTACCTACTTCCTGAATGAATTAAAAATAACTTTTCGTGTTTTTTACGATGAGTGTAATTAATAAAACTACTTTACACTTATTTTGGTGTAGTTCTTGGATGTAGTCTTCAGGTCTGGCTCTTGTTTACATTGTTTACTTAAACCTCAAGAGCAGCAGAGGTTGGTATCTGTTTGTGTGAGAGAGGTACACATGAGATTGAGCAGCATGGTAACCATGTCTGCCATAGTGAGTGTACCCGAGTGATGGGGGTCAAAGCAATTCAATTTCTTGTCCCCATATATGGGGGCTGACATCAGTCCACGATCATAGAGTTCCTCACACTCGCTGATATCGGCTATGTTGAGTGGCAAAATTGTATCCCACCACCACACTCCCCCCCCGGTCTGGCTAGGTAACAGGTAATCCAGGCTGGTCTGAGCTTGTGGTCTCATGTTGCTGGGTGTTGAACTGTCGCCTTCTGGGTCTTCTTGTGGCAGTGTGACGAGTGTTGAGTGAGCCAGGGAGGCGCGGGAGGACGCTTGCTGCTGCTCCCTGTTCTGCTGCAGGTAATACAGTAGAAACATCTCGCTCCACTCCGTGGAGGCATCCCCGAAGGCAATCCTGAGGTTCTGGAGACGACCGGTAACCCCGTGGGGTCTGTACCTTGTCTGGGAAGTCACCAACACTCTTGTCTTCACAGAAATCTGAAATAATAAATTTAATTGCTTTTTATCCTATCACCACAATGTTGTAGAAATTATATACTTTATTTTGGCATCACATAATTTAGAGGCACTTTATCTAGCACAGTGGCGAAGACCTCTTGATCCATTTAACTGGAGGTATCTTCTTTTTTTTCTATCCTCCGATCAAGCCTGATTACCTACCATTCATTGAGCGCTCTAAGACCATTACGGGTTAAGCACTTCCCAGGCCTTGAAAGGTGTTCAGTTCCTTAGTTTTAAAACGAAAGGGACTGATCACTTCCAGAATACCTCTCAATTTCCACGATTTCCAATGATTCTTCTATTGGATTGAACAAACCACTGGTAAGCGAAACATCTTCAACACTAAAGATACCGAGGTGTTGCAGATGTGCCTCATTCGGTGTCTTGTCGGTACTGTAACACCATTAATGTAAAAAAAAATAATAGTTGGAATATGCAGCGCTGTGTGACCCTAGTGGGTTTTGCGCTTCATTTTGATTATAATAATAATGTCTGGAATAATGTTTTGAGTGACAAGATAAATAATAAAATCATCTTGAACCTCATAATTAAATTGCGGACGATTTAAGTTATAAGAAATGTGAACAGTAAAGAGGGCGTTACCGCTATCCAGAATAACCTTCAGTAGCAATTGCCATTCAGTAAAGATAAAGTGCAGTGGCCTGCCTGGATGATACAACACATCCCAGGTATAATAGTTCCCAATTATTAAGAACAGCGCAAGTAGGAATAAGCATGAAAAGATCTTATTCCAATCCAGGAATAATCAAAAGTACTTATAAATGTAAGGATAGGAAAACGGTCAGCCAAATTCATAAATCCCTCTATGCTTCTCCTTTGATAACTTTACATATGGGCACCACAATTATATTATTGGAAAAAAAGTGACACGCGCAATGGCAATCCTGAAAATATAACCGCCTATCAGAGTAGGCTGAGAGCCGCTTCACTGTCTACTCTTCAAACGAGGCTTGACAGACCTCATCCCATAAGAGACATTTAAGGTACTGAACAGACAAGATAATGGAAGTCCAGAATACTTCTTTAAAAAGGTCTGTATGATATATACGAGAGGCCCCACCTTCATGCTCGTCAGTACGGGGCAGACAACGAGTGCAATAAATCTATGGAACAATTCCCCTCAAGGAAGGTTCCTTGACGCTAGTGAGAGGCTCTTGATCTAGGGAATTAGATCTGTGCTCCAGTTCCCTGAATTGAGCCTGAATACCTTCCATCCTCCCCCCTACGTGTGCTGTATAGTCCTACGGGTTTAGCGCTCCCCATGATTATAATAATAATAATATGGAACAATTTCCTCTTAAAGGGAAGGAAAACCATGCAGGCAATAGAAGTTTGGTCCACGAAGCTGTAACTATATTTTCCCTTCCTTAGATCAACCAATTACCTCCTGTATGGGTTACAACTTCCCAGCGACTGTAATAATCCTAGGGAAGAATTTCCCACAAAAGCAAAGCCTGTACTACGGTTTAAAATTCACCTGGAATAACTCAAGAGGTAAAATTGGGGGGATCATGCACAAGCAAAGGGCTTCATGTTCACTAATGAGTGTCTGTAAGGTCAATACTGATACGAGGAGAGGAACGACCGATATATACTGACCTGCTGGCTGGAAGATATTTATACTGACCTGCTGGAGGAGGGCTGCTACCTTCTGGTGCATCTCCATGATTAAGCTGTAAACATCGTGAGGGTACAACTCCAGCATCCTCTGCATCATCCATGATGTGTAACCTGAAGGAGTTAAATACACGGAGAGAGTTGCAGCTTAGTAGAAAGAATTTAATGTAGAGTTTTTTATGCATGAATAATAATAGCAAATAATAATGATTATTTATACCCTGAAAGCGGATTCCTATAGTCACTGCTTTTTACTTCCAAGGTTTCTGTGTGATAAGTAGAGAACGATTTTCTGATCGGCTGCAAACTTTTACCACTGGTGTACTCTACACAGATGAACATACAGGGGCCAATTAGCAAATTTTATACATGAAACTAACGCAACAATTTATGGTGACTTGAGGATGCCTCGGTTTTAAGGGGCACGTCAGTTTCCCTGTCTTCTAATATTAGGGGCCAGGGGAACTCATGCGCCTCTTCAGCGTTCAGATCTGGTGTAGCCTACTTAATAAAAAATGTTTCGGATTGTCACTGGATTGCATGTGCCAATTTATGTGGTACTTTTTCCACGCGATAACTTGAAAATGTCTTCTGAACGGCTTCAGTCTTTAAATGCTGACGCATCTAATTTGTGTATTTGAAACACAAAAAAATTAAGTAACGATGATTGATTTCCACGCAATTGCTGTCGAATGACACTTCTGAGCGGTTTTGAAATTCCATTGCTGGTTCATTTTTCTCAAAGGAAAATTTTCGCATTACAATTGAGCTGTGTAAATTCCAAATTTAAGAAATCCGGCTGTTGCTTTCCCTGCGATAATTGGATTATTATTATTATTACTACTACACGTTCATGGGAGAGCACTGCCGCTAAACCCTGGGTCGTACTGCGCCTGGGAAAATGAGAAGCGATCACGTTCGACCCAGAGAAAGGGCAGTCAGGTCTACCTGGATCAAGACGTCTTGTAGTCACATATTTCAGTCCTGCGATGAGCGCTCTTGCACGCGCAGGTACACGTCTCGTCTCTCTTAAGTAATATTAGACGAAACTGAATTATGTACTACTATATAAATAATACATAAAATCGACAAGTAGAAAAATAAAACACAAGTTGGTATCTGTTGTTCGATTATTTTTAGGTCTGCCCGAAATGCTTTGCATAACTATGGGCTTTATCGTGTATATATCCTTATGTTATGTAATCTCTTATACTGTACATGTGTATCATCTTAATACATAAATTTGTTTATTATTATTTTTGTTAACCAGTGACTTGATCAATCCAATACAGAGAATAATTAAGAGAGACTGTTAAAGACGTGAGGTAGTTTAAGGTAATCAGTCCCTCTGCCAGCTGTTGCACATGTCTTTTATTAAAGTGAATTACGAAGTGCATGTAGAAGAGAGCTTACCTAGGAGGAGGAGATGAGGTGGGGTCTCCTCTCCCCTGGCCCACCTGCCTAGTTCTTGTATCTCTCTGCTTGTGTTCACCTTCGATGGGACCATCTCTACAAATATTCTGAAACTGACCACAGATGCTGGTTGTAGCAGTAATGTTAGCTGCAGTTTTTTTAATACTAGAAACAGTATAAGCAATAATGACATATCTTAGAAGAATATAAATTAAAATTCACAATAAAAATAAAATAAAATGGCAGAAAGGAACACATAATTAAATTGTTCATAATTTATAACAGCCGAATACTTACACTTAGGTCACACTACACATACATGTACACGTTTATTTATACACACTCATCTGAGTTTTCTTTGATTTTATCTTAATAGTTCTTGGTCTTATTACTTTTCCATTTATATCCATGGGGAAGTGGAATAAGAATCTTTCCTCCGTAAGCCATGCGTGTTGTAAAAGTCAACTAAAATGCCGGGAACAATGGGCTAGTAACCCCTTTTCCTGTAAAGATTACTAAAATGAATAATAAGAAGAAAATTGTCAAAGTGGGAAGTCTGAATGTGCGTGGATGTTGTGCGAATGATAAGAAAGAGATGATTGTGGATGTTATGAATGAGAAGAAGCTGGATGTCCGGGCTTTAAAAGTGAAACAAAGCTGAAGGGGGTGGGAGAGTTTCAGTGGAGAGGAATAAATGGGATTTAAATCAGGGGTTTCAAATAAAGTTAGAGCTAAAGAAGGAGTAGCAATAATGTTGAAGGATAAGCTATGGCAGGAAAAGAGGGACTATAATGTATTAATTCAAGGATTATGTGGAGTAAAATAAAAGATTGGATGTGAATAGTGGGTTATAATAAGCGTGTATGCACCTGGAGAAGAGAAGTGTAGAGGAGAGAGACATTTTGGAAAACGTTGAGTGAATGCGTGGGGAGTTTTGAATCAAGTGTGAGAGTAATGGTGGTTGGGGATTTCAATGCTAAAGTGGGTAAAAATGTTATGGGGGGAAAGTAGTAGGTAAATTTGGGGTGCCAGGGGTAAATGTAAATGGGGAGCCTTTAATTGAGCTATGTGTAGAAAGAGATTTGGTAATAAGTAATAAAATTTTTATGAAAAAGAGGATAAATAAATATACAAGGTATGATGTAGCACGTAATGAAAGTAGCTTATAGATTATATATTGGTGGATAAAAGGTTATGGTAGGGCTCCAGGATGTACATGTTTATAGAGGGGCAACTGATATATCGGTTTCATTATTTAGTTGTAGCTACATTTAAAGAATAAGAGGTAGATGGGAAAGGGACGGTGGCAACAACAAGTAAGGGGGAGGTGAAAGTGTATAAACTAAGGGGAGGGGGAAGTTCGGGTGAGATATAAGCAACTATTGGCAGAAAGGTGGGTTAGAGCACAGATGAGTAGTGGGGGGGTTGAAGAGGGTTGGATGAGTTTTAAAAAAGCAGTATTTGAATGTGGGCAGAAGTTTGTGGTTATAGGAGGGTAGGGGCAGGAGGAAAGAGGAGTGATTGGTGGAATGATGAAGTAAAGGTGTGATAAAAGAAAAAAGGTAGCTTATTAGAGGTTTTTAAAAAAACAGAAGCGTTATAAGAAGAGCAGAGTTTTATGGAGAGTAAAAGAAAGGTGAAGAGAGTGGTGAGAGAGTGCAAAAGGAGAGCAGATGATAGAGTGGGAGAGGCACTGTCAAGAAATTTTAATGAAAATAAGAAAAAAATTTGGAGTGAGTTAAACAAGTTAGAAAGCCTAGGGAAAGTATGGATTTGTCAGTTAAAAAAAAGAGTAGGGGAGTTAGTAGATGGGGAGAGGGAGATATAGGTAGATGGCGAGAATATTTTGAGGAACTTTTAAATGTTAAGGAAGAAAGAGAGGCGGTAATTTCATGCACTGGTCAGGGAGTTTTACCATCTTTTAGGAGTGAAGAAGAGCAGAATGTAAGTGTGGGGGAGGTACGTGAGGCATTACGTAGAATGAAGGGGGTAAAGCAGCTGGAACTGATGGGAAACATGACAGAAATGTTAAAAGCAGGGGGGGATATAGTGTTGGAGTGGTTGGTATTTTTGTTTTAAAAAATTGTATGAAAGAGGGGAAGGTACCTAGGGATTGGCGAGGGGCATGTATAGTCCCCTTTATATAAAGGGAAAGGGCCAAAAGAGATTGTAAAAAAATTTTAGAGGGAAAAAAGTTTACTGAGTATACCAGGAAAAGTGTACGGTAGGGTTATAATTGGGAAAAAATTAGAGGTAAGCAGAAAGTAGGATTGCGGGGTGAGCAAGGAGGTTTCAGAGTGGGTAGGGGATGTGTAGATCAAGTGTTTACATTGAAGCATATATGTGAACAGTATTTAGATAAAGGTAGGGAAGTTTTTATTGCATTTATGGATTTAGAAAGGCATATGATAGAGTGGATAGAGGAGCAAGTGGACAGATGTTGCAAGTGTATGGAATAGGTGGTAAGTTATTAAATGTTGTTAAGAGTTTTTATGAGGATAGTGAGGCTCAGGTTAGGGTGTGTAGAAGAGAGGGAGACTACTTCCCGGTAAAAGTAGGTCTTAGACAGGGATGTGTAATGTCACCATGGTTGTTTAATATATTTATAGATGGAGTTGTAAAGGAAGTAAATGCTAGGGTGTTCGGGAGAGGGGTGGGATTAAATCTTGGGGAATCAAATTCAAAATGGGAATTGACACAGTTACATTTTGCTGATGATACTGTGCTTATGGGAGATTCTAAAGAAAAATTGCAAAGGTTAGTGGATGAGCTTGGGAATGTGTGTAAAAGTAGAAAGTTGAAAGTGAGCATAGAAAAGAGTAAGGTGATGAGAGTATCAAATGATTTAGATAAAGAAAAATTAGATATCAAATTGGGGAGGAGGAGTATGGAAGAAGTGAATGTTTTCAGATACTTGGGAGTTGACGTGTCAACAGACGGATTTATGAAGGATGAGGTTAATCATAGAATTGATGAAGGAAAAAAGGTGAGTTGTGCGCTGAGGTATATGTGGAGTCAAAAAACATTATCTATGGAGGCAAAGAAGGGAATGTATGAAAGTATAGTAGTACCAACACTCTTATGTGGGTGTGAAGCTTGGGTGGTAAATGCAGCAGCGAGGAGACGGTTGGAGGCAGTCGAGATGTCCTGTTTAAGGGCAATGTGTGGTGTAAATATTATGCAGAAAATTCGGAGTGTGGAAATTAGGAAAAGGTGTGGAGTTAATGAAAGTATTAGTCAGAGGGCAGAAGAGGGGTTGTTGAGGTGGTTTGGTCATTTAGAGAGAATGGATCAAAGTAGAATGACATGGAAAGCATATAAATCTATAGGGGAAGGAAGGCGTGGTAGGGGTCGTCCTCGAAAGGGTTGGAGAGAGAGGGTAAATGAGGTTTTGTGGGCGAGGGGCTTGGACTTCCAGCAAGCGTGCGTGAGCGTGTTAGATAGGAGTGAATGGAGACGAATGGTACTTGGGACCTGACGAGCTGTTGGAGTGTGAGCAGGGTAATATTTAGTGAAGGGATTCAGGGAAACCGGTTATTTTCATATAGTCGGACTTGAGTCCTGGAAATGGGAAGTACAATGCCTGCACTTTAAAGGAGGGGTTTGGGATATTGGCAGTTTGGAGGATATGTTGTGTATCTTTATATGTGTATGCTTCTAAACTGTTGTATTCTGAGCACCTCTGCAAAAACAGTGATAATGTGCGGTGTGGTGAAAGTGTTGAATGATGATGAAAGTATTTTCTTTTTGGGGATTTTCTTTCTTTTTTTGGGGCACCCTGCCTCGGTGGGAGACGGCCGACTTGTTGAATATATAAATATATATTATATATATATATATATATATATATATATATATATATATATATATATAATATATATGTTATATATGTAAAATATATTTATATATATATATATATATATATATATATATATATATATATATATATATATATATATATGTCGTGCCGAAAAAGGCAGAACTTGCGATCTTGGCTTAAATAACAACGTTCATCTTGCCATATAGGACAAGTGAAAATTTGTGTAGCAATAATGTCGCCAAAATCATTCTCACCTAACGAAAAAAATATATTTCACTGGTTTGTTTATATTAAATTACTGTAAACAAATCTGAAATATATTTAATTGGGTTAGGCTAAAAAAATTGTTCTTGTTATAATAAGGTTAGGTAAGTTTTCTAAGATTCTTTTGGTGCAAAATTAAAAAATTTTTTACATTAACTTAATGAAAAAATATATCTTTAAACGTATAAGAGAAAATTTTAGAAAGGACTTAATTTTAAATGAGTTCTTGCTAATTGACCAGTTTTACATATTCGGCACGACACCACCACACACACACACATAATATATATATATATTATATATATATATATATATAATATATATATATATATATTATATATATATATATATATATATATATATAATATAATATATAATATATTATATATATATATATATATATATATATATAAAATATAAAAATATAATATAATATATATAAATATATATAGATATATATATATATATATTTATATATATATATTATATATATTATATATATATATATATAATATATATATATATAAAAATATATATATTAATATATATATATATATATATATATAAATATATATATATATAATAAACATGTTTAAATATCCATAATTGTTCGTGCTGACCTGAAGGTAATGCGCAGCCCCGGGTGGGCGGGGTCGTGGCCTCCATGTCAACGTGTAGTCTGACGTACCTTTTTCTCATTTCCGCAAAGGGTTCTGTTGTTTTCTAAAATTTTAGTACAATAAAAAAATAAACTCTTTGTTATGTTTATATTAATGCTGCATTTCACCTGTACACAACCAGTCAAGAATACTTTTAGTACCCAAAATAAAGATGAACGTAAACTTAGAATATATATTGACTAAAAATAAGTTCCAATGAATTCTCCCCGGAAACCGAGGGACAATAATTTAACTTATATTATAGCAGATAATCGGTCGTAAAGCCTATCGATTACTCAAGGGCCATTAAGGCTCTGTTACCTGTCTACTACCAGTCAATACTTTAGTCTCCAAAATAATGCTGAAAGCAAACTATTACATACTAATATATATACCTAGTGTATATAGTGATGTTCTTGTATATATATATATATATATATATATATATATAATAATATATATATTTTATAAAATAATATTATATATATATATATATATATTATATATATATTATTTATATAATATTATTTTATATAAAATATATATATATATATTTTATATTATATATATATAACCCTTAAAATGCATAGTTGGCTTATTAGGCTTAAAGTCTATGGACTTAACAAGCGTTACTAAATTTGCATATCACCTGTACGCCGTAAGTCAAGGATACTCTGCTTCTCAGTATGGGAATTAAAGTCTATGTGTATAAGACCTATACACATAGAGTTTACTTATACTAAAAGTTAAAGACATATATGAATTGATCGAAGTATTTAATAAGGATACGAGTGGCTTCTTCCACACTCACTCATGTACCAGCCGAACCCATATTTAATAAAATCCAAAGTGACTCTACCTGTAGGTTCGTCCCACTCATCTACTCCTCAGTTGCCAAAAGAGTGCTTTCCTATATCCGTTCTAAATCTTAATATGTCCAACTATAATCATTTCTACATATCCTGCCTTCGTCTGATATTTTCAACACGTTATTTATATCCCTTTTATTTATTCTGGGTTTTCTCTTTGCACACTTCATTAATAGCCGCCTAATTCTACGCCTTTAACAATGGTACAACGTTGTGCAATATGATGATCTGGGTTGAAAGGGAGGGGGGGGGGTTGTGGGGGTACTGCTCAAACATACTCTGTTACATGTACTTAATTAATGTGTATATTGCCGATGGGAAGGGGGTAATGAGAACTGTGTTTAATTAATATTGCTTGCACAGTTTTTCTTTGTTTTTGTATAACGGCATTTTACATGTATCAGGTGTGTGCAGTGTACTAAGTGACATATTACTGTAAACTGAAATGATTTGATTGATGTCGGGTATAATATTGTGTAATCTTGTTTTTCACACAAGTGTTGGGGGTTGCACTGAGTCATGTGACGGGGAATTTTTCTAAAGACAGTGTAACACGTGCAGTGTGTTTTGATTATGAGGACATAATTGTTTTTGTATGTGAAATATCTGACACTGTATAATTTTATTTATTTAATTTAATGTATGTTTTAAATAAAACATAAAAAAATTCAATGCCTTTCCCGAGTGCAAATTCAGTACCTTCAGTTAATCATCGTAGGAAAGGTTTCTGATACAGGGGATCAACATTGTCATCCTTTTCTGTTTGTTTTCCGGTACATTTATGTTAATTCTATAATATGTAGAAAGAAGTGAGCAGCATAATTTAAATGGGGTCTTAGCAAATAATTTTATTAGCTTTAATGCGAACATTTATACACTGTTGTCTTGGCTTTAGATTCCTGCTTACCATATCTCCTAAAAAAAATTTCGCATTCATTTTGATTAAGATCTACACCATTTAGTGCATAAGTGCAATAGTTATTTTCTTTTTCCCAGGAACAGAGCTTTACAATTGTCAGCTTTGAATTGCATCTGCTACTTCTGACACCACAACACCAACCTTTACAGATCATGTAGCTAGTGTCCTCATCAGAAATTATTTGATGGCATATTTTAGTGTCATCGCACACTTGTTTATGTCTCTATTTCAACACCTATGTCGTTTATGTAGAACAAGACAAACTTATCACAACTCACCATAAAGCTGATGATATAGTGATATTCGCTGTCAGTTCGCTGGAGAAATTCATAAAATAGTCCTCTGACTTTGGAATCACCAATGAAAGCAATCCAGAGAGAATCTCTGGTTAGTCTCTCCTTAAAGCAGGTAGTGACGATAACTGGGTCATCAAAGGGAGCTATACGACAAGGAATATAAGGCAGCACTCCACCCATGGCACCAATTCTGCTGAAGAAGCGAACAGAGACTGCTGGAATTTCCTGCCTCGGGTTGTTGTTGTCTTGGAAGAATAAGAGTGTAGGAAGCAGCTCTGCAAGACGACGGTAATCCTCTGTTGAAGCTCCAGACGATGATGTCCTCTTGTAAAGAAGGTGTTCTACCCTTCTGATTGCTTCAGACATGTTGAAGTGGTTGTGAGTGCTATTGTAGTGCGGAGAGGCCCATGTGTGGTTTGGTAAACTCCATTCATTGGTAAAGTTTATTGAAGAATATTGAGGCAAGCGAGCAGCGGCTAGTATGTTGAGGTGAGGGACATCAGTGATAGTGAAGAGGGAGCGGCAGCTGTGATTCGCTTCAGTGTTTACTGATACACCTGCTGTTCGCCTCTCTGCACTCTTGTTAACACTAAACACAACAAACAAGTTTACCAAAAATATAGTTAACACTACATTGACAACCCTCTTATTCATATATTTTTTATACAGACTGATAATCATTTTTCTATAAGACAAGTTCATTATGAACACTATCGACGTCCTGCACCACCTTACCACTAGAAAATATTTCAGTATTTTTCCTGCTACAGCGGTAGCAGGAAAACCAGATACAAGTATTGTATAATTACTTAAGATAAACAATGCAGATATAATAAATAATGACTTTCGAAGAGATGAATGTGTTTGCGTGTTAGTATGAAGATGAGAAATTGTAGCCAACAGCAGCGGCAGTTCCCTTTTTTCAAAATCAAAATCGAAATGTTTTGGTGGTAATGCTGCCATCAGCGACTAGTTTCTATTTTATTGCCCATCCCGGAAGATTATTATTTTTAGGGAAACTCTAAGCCCGTAGGATCATACAACTGGAGAAAAAGAGGTATTTAGGTTTTATCCAAGAAAGAGGGGTAATCCAAATCTTTTGATGACGAGTACTAGGCTGCATCAAGGGGTTCCCCACTTGAAGGAGTGCGAGTGATACAGTGACTAAGTTCCCAATGGATCTTTAATGCCCGACGTGGCCAGATTCTGGACCAGTCCTCTTGGTGGATCAAGGCGTGATCAATCAAGTTGTTACTGTTGGCTACACGCAGTCACACGTACGAACCACAACCCGGCTGGCCAGGAACTGACTGGTGGAATGTGTCAAGTTCCCTTGTTAAAACAATCGGTCTGTTAGTAATTGTCCTTATGCACGGAGGAAGGACCTTGAGGAGACGGGGACCTCTGACACTAATCAAGTTCTTTCTTGATGTACTCGTCGTACCATTGCTCTTTATTGTCTTGTTGTCACACATACTGATTTATGTTTGCAGGTTTGAGACCAGTCTCTTCAGGATGTACTTTTCTCAGCTATGTTCCAAGGAATACAGTTAACGATGCTTCAAACGTTCCCAGCAGTTCGGATGTTTACCTGTATGTATATGGGCAGTGGGAGCCGATGGATATATAATTATAACTTAACATATTACAGTTATTTAGCTGGACTTCAAGCCTGTCGATTACTAAAAGGTCTTTTAAGGCTACATGTTATTTGCTAATCCCCAATGAAGAATATTTTCACCCCTAAAATAGGGATTAAAGTAGTCTCAGTACAGCCAACTGACCACAGTCAGTCATGTCCACCATACTGCCAGTGATACATATTGTTTTCATTCTCTATCTATTGTGTGTGATAATTGTCAGTATCTATTTGTAGCAACATGAGCAGAGAGATATGCTCGTGATGTACCGTCTTCAAAGAAATTGCTCATCATATATATACTTTTTTAAATTTCGAGTAGTTGTACCACATAATACATCTTCTTGTAATTCATTTCATTGATTTACAAGTCTGTTTGTGAAGAAGCAAATATAAGTGCATCAGGGAAATATTTCGCGTTTATTTATACAGGTTGTTTGTTTTCTTCTCCATACACTTCATATTTCGAGAACTGCTTTGTCAGCTTTTGCATTTCAAATACTCCATTCATCTCCCCAGACCTAGTACATTCATCTCCCCAGACCTAGTACATTCATCTCCCCAGACCTAGTACATTCATCTCCCCAGACCTAGTACATTCATCTCCCCAGACCTAGTACATTCATCTCCCCAGACCTAGTACATTCATCTCCCCAGACGTAGTACATTCATCTCCCCAGACCTAGTACATTCATCTCCCCAGACCTAGTACATTCAATCTCCCCAGACCTAGTACATTCATCCCCCAGACCTAGTACATTCATCTCCCCAGACCTAGTACATTCATCTCCCCAGACCTAGTACATCATCTCCCCAGACCTAGTACATTCATCTCCCCAGACCTAGTACATTCATCTCCCCAGACCTAGTACATTCATCTCCCCAGACCTAGTACATTCATCTCCCCAGACCTAGTACATTCATCTCCCCAGACCTGTACATTCATCTCCCCAGACCTAGTACATTCATCTCCCCAGACCTAGTACATTCATCTCCCCAGACCTAGTACATTCATCTCCCAGACCTAGTACATTCATCTCCCCAGACCTAGTACATTCATCTCCCCAGACCTAGTACATTCATCTCCCCAGACCTAGTACATTTATCTCCCCAGACCTAGTACATTCATCTCCCCAGACCTATACATTCATCTCCCAGACCTAGTACATTCATCTCCCAACCTAGTACATTCATACTCCCCAGACCTAGTACATTCATCTCCCCGGACCTAGTACATCATCTCCCCAGACCTAGTACATTCATCTCCCCAGACCTAGTACATTCATCTCCCCAGACCTAGTACATTCATCTCCCCAGACCTATTACATTACATCTCCCCAGACCTAGTACATTCATCTCCCCAGACCTAGTACATTCATCTCCCCAGACCTAGTACATTCATCTCCCCAGACCTAGTACATTCATCTCCCCAGACCTAGTACATTCATCTCCCCAGACCTAGTACATTCATCTCCCCAGACCTAGTACATTCATCTCCCCAGACCTAGTACATTCATCTCCCCAACCTAGTACATTCATCTCCCCAGACCTAGTACATTCATCTCCCCAGACCTAGTACATTCATCTCCCCAGACCTAGTACATTCATCTCCCCAGACCTAGTACATCATCTCCCAGACCTAGTACATTCATCTCCCCAGACCTATTACATACATCTCCCCAGACCTAGTACATTCATCTCCCCAGACCTAGTACATTCATCTCCCCAGACCTAGTACATTCATCTCCCCAGACCTAGTACATCATCCCCCAGACCTAGTTACATTCATCTCCCCAGACCTAGTACATTCATCTCCCCAGACCTAGTACATTCATCTCCCCAGACCTAGTACATTCATCTCCCCAGACCTAGTACATTCATCTCCCCCAGACCTAGTACATTCATCTCCCCAGACCTAGTACATTCATCTCCCCAGACCTAGTACATTCATCTCCCCAGACCTAGTACATTCATACTCCCAGACCTAGTACATCATCTCCCCAGACCTAGTACATTCATCTCCCCAGACCTAGTACATTCATCTCCCAGACCTAGTACATTCATCTCCCCAGACCTAGTACATTCATCTCCCCAGACCTAGTACATTCATCTCCCCAGACCTTGTACATTCATCTCCCCAGACCTAGTACATCATCTCCCCAGACCTAGTACATTCATCTCCCCAGACCTAGTACATTCATCTCCCCAGACCTAGTACATTCATCTCCCCAGACCTAGTACATTTATCTCCCCAGACCTAGTACATTCATCTCCCCAGACCTAGTACATTCATCTCCCAGACCTAGTACATTCATCTCCCCAGACCTAGTACATTCATCTCCCCAGACCTAGTACATTCATCTCCCCAGACCTAGTACATTCATCTCCCAGACCTAGTACATTCATCTCCCCAGACCTAGTATCATTCATCTCCCCAGACCTAGTACATTCACTCTCCCAGACCTAGTACATTCATCTCCCCAGACCTAGTACATTCATCTCCCCAGACCTAGTACATTCATCTCCCCAGACCTAGTACATTCATCTCCCCAGACCTAGTACATTCATCTCCCCAGACCTAGTACATTCATCTCCCCAGACCTAGTACATTCATCTCCCCAGACCTAGTACATTCATCTCCCCAGACCTAGTACATTCATCTCCCCAGACCTAGTACATTCATCTCCCCAGACCTTGTACATTCATCTCCCCAGACCTAGTACATTCATCTCCCCAGACCTAGTACATTCATCTCCCCAGACCTAGTACATTCATCTCCCCAGACCTAGTACATTCATCTCCCCAGACCTAGTATATTCATCTCCCCAGACCTAGTACATTCATCTCCCCAGACCTAGTACATTCATCTCTCCCAGACCTATTACATACATCTCCCCAGACCTAGTACATTCATCTCCCCAGACTAGTACATTCATCTCCCCAGACCTAGTACATTCACTACCCCAGACCTAGTACATTCATCTCCCCAGACCTAGTACATTCATCTCCCCAGACCTAGTACATTCATCTCCCCAGACCTAGTACATTCATCTCCCAGACCTAGTACATTCATCTCCCCAGACCTATTACATACATCTCCTCAGACCTAGTACATTCATCTCCCCAGACCTAGTACATTCATCTCCACAGACCTAGTACATTCATCTCCCCAGACCTAGTACATTCATCTCCCCAGACCTAGTACATTCATCTCCCCAGACCTAGTACATTCATCTCCCCAGACCTAGTACATTCATCTCCCCAGACCTAGTACATTCATCTCCCCAGACCTATTACATACATCTCCCCAGACCTAGTACATTCATCTCCCCAGACCTAGTACATTCATCTCCCCAGACCTAGTACATTCATCTCCCCGAACCTAGTACATTCATCTCCCCAGACCTAGTACATTCATCTCCCCAGACCTAGTACATTCATCTCCCCAGACCTAGTACATTCATCTCCCCAGACCTAGTACATTCATCTCCCCAGACCTAGTACATTCATCTCCCCAGACCTAGTACATTCATCTCCCCAGACCTAGTACATTCACTCCCCAGACCTAGTACATTCATCTCCCCATGACCTAGTACATTCATCTCCCAGACCTAGTACATTCATCTCCCCAGACCTAGTACATTCATCTCCCCAGACCTAGTACATTCATCTCCCCAGACCTAGTACATTCATCTCCCCAGACCTAGTACATTCATCTCCCCAGACCTTGTACATTCATCTCCCCAGACCTAGTACATTCATCTCCCCAGACCTAGTACATTCATCTCCCCAGACCTAGTACATTCATCTCCCCAGACCTAGTACATTCATCTCCCCAGACCTAGTACATTCATCTCCCCAGACCTAGTACATTCATCTCCCTAGACCTAGTACATTCATCTCCCCAGACCTAGTACATTCATCTCCCCAGACCTAGTACATTCATCTCCCCAGACCTAGTACATTCATCTCCCCAGACCTAGTACATTCATCTCCCAGACCTAGTACATTCATCTCCCCAGACCTAGTACATCATCTCCCCAGACCTAGTACATTCATCTCCCCAGACCTAGTACATTCATCTCCCCAGACCTAGTACATTCATCTCCCCAGACTAGTACATTCATCTCCCCAGACCTAGTACAATTCATCTCCCCAGACCTAGTACATTCATCTCCCCAGACTAGTACATTCATCTCCCCAGACCTAGTACATTCATCTCCCCAGACCTTGTACATTCATCTCCCCAGACCTAGTACATTCATCTCCCCAGACCTAGTACATTCATCTCCCCAGACCTAGTACTTAATCCTCCCCAGACCTAGTACATTCATCTCCCCAGACCTAGTACATTTATCTCCCCAGACCTAGTACATTCATCTCCCCAGACCTAGTACATTCATCTCCCCAGACCTAGTACATTCATCTCCCCAGACCTAGTACATTCATCTCCCCAGTACCTAGTACATTCATCTCCCCAGGCCTAGTACATCATCTCTCCAGACCTAGTATATTCATCTCCCCAGACCTAGTACATTCATCCCCAGACCTAGTACATTCATCTCCCCAGACCTAGTACATTCATCTCTCCCAGACCTAGTACATTCATCTCCCCAGACCTAGTACATTCACTCCCCAGACCTAGTACATTCATCTCCCCAGACCTAGTTACATTCATCTCTCCAGACCTAGTACATTCATCTCCCCAGACCTAGTACATTCATCTCCCCAGACCTAGTACATTCATCTCCCCAGACCTAGTACATTCATCTCTCCAGACCTAGTACATTCATCTCCCCAGACCTAGTACATCATCTCCCCAGACCTAGTACATTCATCCCCCAGACCTAGTACATTCATCTCCCCAGACCTAGTACATTCATCTCTCCAGACCTAGTACATTCATCTCCCCAGACCTAGTACATTCATCTCCCCAGACCTAGTACATTCATCTCTCCAGACCTAGTACATTCATCTCTCCAGACCTAGTACATTCATCTCCCCAGACCAGTACATTCATCTCCCAGACCTAGTACATTCATCTCCCCAGACCTAGTACATTCATCTCCCCAGACCTAGTACATTCATCTCCCCAGACCTAGTACATTCATCTCCCCAGACCTAGTACATTCATCTCCCCAGCCTAGTACATTCATCTCCCCAGACCTAGTACATTCATCTCCCCAGACCTAGTACATTCATCTCCCCAGACCTAGTACATTCATCTCCCAGACCTAGTACATTCATCTCCCCAGACCTAGTACATTCATCTCCCCAGACCTAGTACATTCATCTCCCCAGACCTAGTACATTCATCTCCCCAGACCTAGTACATGCGCCTAAGATGCAACAGTAGCATTTAAGACCATGAAAATCTAAGGATTTAACAATATCAACAAAAATATAACTGGGACTAAGTTTCCTCTTCACATTGTTTGTTTGTTTGCATTTTCTAGACTTGAAATTCTGAAGCTGGCTGCTGAATTTCATTATGGTTCTCTTATGGATATACGTGTCAGCTAATATTGATGCATCTGTGTAGTTCCTTACCGTCTATCGTGTGTATTGCTCAACGTTATCTACCTCCTGAATGAGCCAAACCAAAATTATGTAGATTACCATTAATAAGCAATCTTCACAATTTTGGTGCAGATCTCTAAATTAAAAGCATCGTTTTCAAGTATTGTTCTCTTGTGTGCAATGTTAACCTAAACTTCAGGAGCAGCAGAATTTGGTGTCTGTTTATGTGAGAGAGTTATATATGAGGTTGAGTAGTATGGTGACCATGTCGGCCAAAATAGTTGTACCCGAGTGATGGGCGTCGAAGCATTTTAATTATGCCCCTTTATATGTGGGAATTGACACTAGTCCGCGACGGTCGAGTTCCTCACACTCGCTGATCTCGGCCATGTTGAGTGGTAAACTCGTGTCTCACCACCACAATCCACCACCAGTCAGCAGAGTGCAACGGACAAGTGAAGTAACAGCAGCAGCAACACACACACACACACATACACACACAGCAAGAGACATTCTTGAGCTTCCCCAGCGCTCGGGCTTCGGCCCAAAGCTGGGGTGTGGCTCTGAAAGGATCCTGTCGTGCTTGCTGTGATATATCTTGAACATTTCTGGGTGAGTTGTCACTGAATTCATTGATTTTATCGCACTCCAGTACATAATGACGCAAGGTGTGACAATAGTCCATCTGGCAAAGTTTACATTTCGTTTGGTCTACATCTGGTGGTGGTGATTTAATCTGCCAAAGGTACTTGTAATCCAGCCGGAGCCGGGCGGTAGTGACATCCAAGAGCTCACTTTTCCTTTAGTAACCCTGAAGACTCATGTATTATGTGTAGATGTTATGAAAAGTATATACATTTCAGTCAGTCCCTGTGGAACATTATGTAAATATGTGTCATTCAGAATGAGAATATCTTTAAAGAGAAATGGAGAATTTTTTTGAGTACGTGCCAGAACTGAGGTGCAAATACAAAGACTAAATATAGCTTAGAGAGAAGTGGGACTAATGTTTTATTTGATGGCTCTTCCATGTGTGAGCTATAAATCAAGCACAACAAACTCTATCATCGGTGTTTATCACAGAGCTGCACAAGAGGTTGAGCAACATAGTAATCATGTCGCTCAGAGAGGCTCTCCCAGCGTGCTGGGGGTCTGGACATCGGAAGTAGTTATCACTATATAGGGGATGAGACACCAGTGCTCGACGGTAGAGTTCCTCACACTCGCTGATCTCGGCCATGTTGAGTGGCACGCCAGTATCCCACCACCACACTCCACCACCGGTTTGACTGGGCGACATGTAGTCGAAGTTGGTCTGGGCTTGTGCTCGTGTACTGGTGGGTGTTGAACTGTCGCCGATTGGGTGGTCTACTTGTGACAGAGAGATGAGTGTTGGGTGAGCCTGAAAGGCCTGTTGCTCTCTGTACTGCTGCAGGTAATACAGCAGCGACATCTCACTCCAGTCAGTCATAGCATCACCAAATGCGGTTCTCATGTTAAATAAGACATGCACAGAGTGTGGCCTGAAGCGACTCTGTGTAAGTAGTAACACTCTTGTTCTTTGTGAAATCTGAAACACCAGAAACAACACTTAAGAAAAAATCTCCTTCTATATTTACAATAACATGATCTCTTCTAAAATCTAGATTATATATATATATATATATATTATATATATATATATATATATATATATATATTATATATATATATATATATATATATATATATATATATATAATATATATATACATATGTATATATATGCATATGTCGTGCGGAATAAGTAAAACTGGTCAGTTAGCAGGAACTCATTTAAAATTAAGTCCTTTCTAAAATTTTCTCTTATACGTTTAAAAATATATTTTTTTATCTATGTTAATCTAAGAATTAATAATTTTGTACCAAAAGAACCTTAGAAAACTTACCTAACCTTATTATAACAAGCTCAATTAAATTTAGCCTAATTCAACTAAATATATTTTAGATAAGTTTACAATAACTGAATAATAAATAAGCACAATGAGATATGTTTTTTTCGTTATGTTCAGAATGATTTTTGCGAAATTATTGCATACACAAATTTTCACTTGCTTTATTCGGCAAGAAAAGCGTTGCTATTTAAGCCAAAATCGCATGTTTTTCCTATTCGTCACGACACATACACACACACACACACACGCGCGCGCGCGCGCGTAGTGGAGGCAGGAACCATACATAGTTTTAAGACGAGGTTTGATAAAGCTCATGGAGCAGGGAGAGAGAGGACCCAGTAGCAACCAGTGAAGAGGCGGGGCCAGGACCTAAGACTCGACCCCTGCAACCACAAATAGGTGAATACACATGAGAGTCCCCTAGGAGCTAGCGACCACGTGGTTCTGTGCTTTGAATACATAGTAGAGTTACAAGTGAAGAGAGTAACAGGAGTTGAATGGAAAAAGCCAGACTATAAAAGAGGGGACTACATAGGTTTGAGGAACTTCCTGCAAGAGGTTCAATGGGACAGAGAACTGCTAGGAAAGTCAGTAAACGAATTGATGGAATAGGTAACAACAAAATGCAAGGAGGCAGAGGATGGCAAGGATGGCAACAGAAACAATGGGAAGACCAGAACGAGCCCCTGGTTTACCCGACGGTGTAAGGAGGCAAAAACTAAGTGCAACACAGAATGGAAAAAGTACAGAAGGCAGAGAACACATGAAAATAGGGAGATTAGTCGCAGAGCCAGGAACGAGTATGCACAGGTAAGGAGGGAGGCCCAGCGACAGTATGAAAATAACATAGCATCGAAAGTCAAGACTGACCCGAAACTGTTGTATAACCACATCAGGAGGAAGACAACAGTCAAAGACCAGGTGATCAGACTGAGGACAGAAGGTGGAGAACTCACAAGAAATGATCAGGAGGTATGTGAGGAGCTAAACAGGAGATTTAAGGACTTTTTTACAGTAGATACAGGAAGGGCTGTGGGAAGACAGCACAGAAGGGAACATCAACAGGGAATATACCAACAAGTGTTGGATGACATACGAACAACGGAGGAGGAGGTGCAGAAGTTGCTAAGTGACCTTGATACCTCAAAGGCGATGGGACCGGACATCTCCCCGTGGGTCCTTAGAGAAGGAGCAGAGACGCTGTGCGTGCCCCTAACCACAATCTTCAATACATCCCTTGAAACTGGGCAGCTACCTGAGATATGGAAGACGGCAAATGTAGTCCCCATTTTTAAGAAAGGAGACAGAAACGAGGCACTAAACTACAGATCAGTGTCTCTGGCGTGTATAGGATGCAATGTCATGGAGAAGATTATCAGGAGGAGAGTGGTGGAGCACCTGGAATGGAACAAGATTATAAATGACAACCAGCATGGATTCATGGAAGGCAAATCTTGTATCACAAACCTCCTGGAGTTTTATGACAGTTTTATGAAGTAAGACACGAGAGAGAGAGGGGTGGGTGGATTGCATTTTCCTGGACTGCAGGAAGGCTTTCGACACAGTTCCTCACAAGAGATTTGTGCAGAAGCTGGAGGATCAGGTGCATATAACAGGGAGGGCACTGCAATGGATCAGAGAATACCTGACAGGGAGGCAACAACGAGTCATAGTACGTGTAGAGGTATCACAGTGGGCGCCTGTGACGAGCGGGGTCCCACAGGGGTCAGTTCTAGGACCAGTGCTATTTTTAATATATGTGAATGACATGATGTAAGGGATAGACTCTGAAGTGTCCCTATTCGCAGATGATGTGAAGTTGATGAGAAGAATTAAATCAGATGAGGATCAGACAGGACTACAAAGAGACCTGGAGAAACTGAACACGTGGTCCAGAAACTGGTTTCTCGAATTCAACCCTGCCAAATACAAAGTCATGAAGATTGGGGAAGGGCAAAGAAGACCACAGACAGAGTATAGGCTAGGTGGACAAAGACTACAAACCTCACTCAAGGAGAAAGATCTTGGGGTGACCATAACACCGAGCACGTCTCCAGAGGCACACAATAACCTGATAACTGCTGCAGCATACGGGCGCCTGGCAAACCTGAGAATAGCGTTCCGATACCTTAATAAGGAATCGTTGAAGACACTGTACACTTTGTACGTTAGGCCCATACTGGAGTATGCAGCACCAGTTTGGAACCCACACCTGGTCAAGCACGTCAAGAAGTTAGAGAAAGTACAAAGGTTTGCAACAAGGCTAGTTCCAGAGCTCAGGGGAATGTCATAAGAACATAAGAAAGGAGGAACACTGCAGGAGGCCTGTTGGCCCATACTAGGCAGGTCCTTTACAATTCATCCCACTAACAAAACATTTGCCCAACCCAATTTTCAATGCCACCCAAGAAACAAGCTCTGATGTGCAAGTCCCACTCAAATCCAACCCCTCCCACTCATGTACTTATCCAACCTAAATTTGAAACTACCCAAAGTCCCAGCCTCAATAACCCAACTAGGTAGACTGTTCCACTCATCAACTACCCTATTTCCAAACCAATACTTTCCTATGTCCTTTCTAAATCTAAACTTATCTAATTTAAATCCATTACTGCGGGTTCTCTCTTGGAGAGACATCCTCAAGACCTTATTAATATCCCCTTTATTAATACCTATCTTCCACTTATACACTTCGATCAGGTCTCCCCTCATTCTTCGTCTAACAAGTGAATGTAACTTAAGAGTCTTCAATCTTTCTTCATAAGGAAGATTTCTAATGCTATGTATTAATTTAGTCATCCTACGCTGAATGTTTTCTAACGAATTTATGTCCATTCTGTAATATGGAGACCAGAACTGAGCTGCATAATCTAGGTGAGGCCTTACTAATGATGTATAAAGCTGCAGTATGACCTCTGGACTTCTGTTGCTTACACTTTTTGATATAAATCCCAGTAATCTATTTGCCTTATTACGTACGCTTAGGCATTGCTGTCTTGGTTTAAGGTTGCTGCTCACCATAACCCCCAAGTCCTTCTCGCAATCTGTATGGCTAAGTTCTACACCATTTAACTTATAGATACTAGGGTTATGGGCACTCCCAAGCTTCAGAACCTTGCATTTATCTACATTGAACTGCATCTGCCACTTTTCTGACCAAGAATAGAGTTTGTTTAAATCCTCCTGAAGTTCCATAACATCTACGTTTGAATCAATTATCCTACCTATCTTTGTGTCATCGGCGAATTTGCTTATATCACTAGTAATTCCCTCATCAAGATCATTGATATATATTATAAACAACAACGGGCCCAAGACTGATCCCTGTGGAACGCCACATGTTACAGATCCCCACTCGGATTTAACCCCATTTATGGACACTCTCTGCTTCCTGCAGTGAGAGCCATGACTCGATCCACGAGAGCAGTTTTCCCCCAATGCCATGAGCTGCCACTTTCTTTAACAGTCTATGGTGCGGAACTCTATCAAAAACCTTACTAAAATCTAAGTAAATAATATCAAATTCTTTATCGTGGTCAACAGCCTCAAAAGCTTTACTGAAGAAAGTTAATAAATTAGTTAGACAAGACCGGCCTCTTGTGAATCCATGCTGATATCATTAATCAAGCTATGCTTATCGAGATGGCTTCTTATAATCTCAGCTATAATTGACTCTAGTAATTTGCCTACAATTGAGGTCAGGCTTATTGGGCGGTAATTTGACGGTAACGACTTGTCCCCTGTTTTAAAAATAGGAATTACATTAGCCATCTTCCACATATCAACACTACACCTGTTTGAAGAGATAAATTAAAAATATTAGTTAATGGTTCACAGAGTTCCATTTTGCATTCCTTTAGAACCCTTGAGAAAACCTCATCAGGACAGGATGGATAATGAGAACCTTCAAAACTAGGGAGGCCAAGCCCATGATGACACTCTTCAGGTCACTTGTTCTATCTAGGCTGGAATATTGCTGCACACTAACAGCACCTTTCAAGGCAGGTGAAATTGCCGACCTAGAAAATGTACAGAGAACTTTCACGGCGCGCATAACGGAGATAAAACACCTCAATTATTGGGAGCGCTTGAGGTTCCTAAACCTGTATTCCCTGGAACGCAGGAGGGAGAGATACATGATTATATACACCTGGAAAATCCTAGAGGGACTAGTACCGAACTTGCACACGAAAATCACCCACTACGAAAGCAAAAGACTTGCAGACGATGCACCATCCCCCCAATGAAAAGCAGGGGTGTCCACTAGCACGTTAAGAGACCATACAATAAGTGTCAGGGCCCGAGACTGTTCAACTGCCTCCCAGCACACATAAGGGGGATTACCAACAGACCCCTGGCAGTCTTCAAGCTGGCACTGGACAAGCACCTAAATCAGTTCCGGATCAGCCGGGGCTGGGGCTCGTATGTTGTTTGCGTGCAGCCACAGCAACAGCCTGGTTGATCAGGCTCTGATCCACCAGGAGGCCTGGTCTCAGACCGGGCCGCGGGGGCGTTGACCCCCGGAACTCTCTCCAGGTAAACTCCAGGTAAACTCCAGGACCCCGGCGACTTATTTTGCTTCAGCCCTGTCTATCTGCTTCACAACCATTTCACTAGACTGTGTTTGTTACATAATTTATCTTCTTCTAGCCCACTATAAAAATTAATTACTGGAATATTGTTAGTGTCTTCCTGTGTAAAAACTGAGAAAAAAATAATTATTAAAAAACCCGAGCACATTTCATTCTCTTTGTCATAAGGTGCCCATATTTTATTTTTAAGGGGACCTATCTTAATCTCTAACTTTTGTTCATAGACCTGGAAAAAATTTTTTTGGGTTAGTATTAGAATCCCTAGCAACTTTAATTTCATAGTCCCTTTTACTTTTCTTATCCCCTTTTTAATGTCCCTCTTAATGTCAATATACTGATTCATAAGATGACCCTCACCTCTTTTAAATACCCCCTAAAATTCCTTTCTTAGCCCAGTAGATATTTGAGCCTATTATTCCATCCATTTGGGTCATTCTATTTGATCTAATTTCTTTATATGGGATAAACGTTCTTTGAGCAGCATGTATATGTTCAAAAACTGTCATATTGATAGCTCACTTCGTTACCCAGTCAACAGATGACAAGTGTTCTCTAACCCATCGTAATCTGCTAAGCGAAAATCTGGGACTGTTACTGAGTTATCGCTACTATCGTACTTCCATTCAATGCTAAATGTAATTGATTTGTGGTCGCTAGCACCCAGTTCCTCTGAAATTTCTAAATTATTAACAAGGGATTCATTGTTTGCCATAACTACGTCAAGCAGGTTATTTCCCCTTGTAGGTTCTGTCACAAACTGCTTCAAAAAACAATCCTGAACTACTTCTAAGAAGTCGTATGATTCTAAATTCCCAGTCAAGAAATTCCACTCAATATGTGGCCTTAACAATTTCCTCCCATAGTAGTCTCCCTTGGTCCCTATCTAAGTTTGGGGGACGGTATATCACTCCTAAAATCAGTTTTTCATGCTCCTCTGAAAATTCTATCCAAACAGACTCTGTATGTGTTACTTCAGACTTAATACCCGTTTTTATGCAACAGTTCAAGCGATCTCGGACATACAATGCCACCCCACCCCCCTTCCCGATACTTCTATCTACTTGGAACAATTTAAAACCCTGAATATGACATTTCCGCAGGCATGTCCCCCACTTTTTTAAATTTAAACCCCCCTCTCAGTAAGGCAAATTACATCAATGTTACCTGCACTAGCAACTAATCTCAACTCGTCCATCTTATTCCTAGCACTACGGCAATTAGCATAATAAACATTGAAAGACTCTCCTTTCTTTACCCTTCCTGCTCATTTCCGTTTTTCTACTAAACCTATTACTGTCCTTATCACCCAAAGTCCCTGGCTTTTCAATATCTACCTCGTTCTGCTTATTACTAGTTCCCCTAGAACTCGAAATATTACTACACTGGGACTTCACTGTTTTCCTGCCAAAACCCATACCACTAACTATTCCTAGTTTAAAGTCCTAACTGCTCCCTCCACTGCAGTTGCCAGTGCTACCACCCGTGCCACCCAGGCCCGGTGGCGTGGTGGCTAAAGCTCCCGCTTCACACACGGAGGGCCCGGGTTCGATTCCCGGCGGGTGGAAACATTTCGACACGTTTCCTTACACCTGTTGTCCTGTTCACCTAGCAGCAAATAGGTACCTGGGTGTTAGTCGACTGGTGTGGGTCGCATCCTGGGGGACAAGATTAAGGACCCCAATGGAAATAAGTTAGACAGTCCTCGATGACGCACTGACTTTCTTGGGTTATCCTGAGTGGCTAACCCTCCGGGGTTAAAAATCCGAACGAAATCTTATCTTATAAGTGAACCCCATCCCTGGCATACATGTCATTTCTGCCATAGAAGAGGTCCCAGTTGTCAATGAATGTTACCGCATTTTCCTTACAGTATTTGTCCAGCCAGCAATTGACACCAATTGCCCTGGACAACCATTCATTTCCAACTCCTCTCCTTGGCAAAATACCACATATGACAGGGTTCCCACCCTTACTATTAATTATTTCTATTGCTGACCTATACCTGCTAATCAGGTCTTCACTCCTACGTCTGCCAACATCGTTGCCTCCAGCACTGAGACAGATAAAGGATTGCTCCCATTACCTCTCATGATTTTCATCCAGACGGCTAAAAATATCCTCCATCCCAGCGCCGGGAAAGCAAACTCTCTGCCCTCCTACTCCTGCCCTTTCCCAAGCAGAAGGGGCCCTATCCATATACCTAACTTGGCTATCCCCAACAACAACAATATTCTTACCTTCCGGGTGTTGTTCATCGTGATGTTCCCAGTAGTCGACTCACATTCGTCGGTAGCATTGAGAATGTATTAGATGTTTTCCACAACAGTTTCCACGGGAGTCTCTTTCTTCTTCATCGTTTCTACCTTTCCATTCGTCTTCTTGATCGTCAACTTCGTTCCCTGCTGTCCAGCCACTGACCAGTTTCCCTTCTTGACCTGAGGGCTCAAAACAGGAGGACTACTACGAATCTTCTTGTTTTCCTCGGTCAGTCGCCGAATCTTCAACTTCGCCATCCTCAATTCTTCCTTAAGCTGTTGGTAAAGTTGCTCGATGGAGGGCATCTTGCTTCAATTCGTAGAGAGCGCGCAAACAGGTCTTCACAGAGCTAAGTACACGTCAACACTGAGCTAAGTACACGTCAACACTGTCGTACGAGGAAAGGTTGAGGGAAATCGGACTGACGACACTGGAGGACAGAAGGGTCAGGGGAGACATGATAACGACATACAAGATACTGCGGGGAATATATAAGATGGACAGAGACAGGATGTTCCAGAGAGGGGACGCAGAAACAAGGGGTCACTATTGGAAGCTGAAGACTCAGACGAGTCAGGGATGTTAGGAAGTATTTCTTCAGTCACAGAGTCGTCAGGAAGTGGAATAGCCTAGCAAGTGAGGAAGTGGAGGCAGGAACCATACATAGCTTTAAGACGAGGTATGACAAAGTTCAGGAAGTAGAGAGAGGACCTAGTAGCGATCAGTGAAGAGGCGGGGCCAGGGGCTGAGTATCGACCCCTGCAACCACAATTAGGTGACTACACACATGCACACAAAGAGACCTGGACAGGCTACAAGCCTGGTCCAGTAACTGGCTCCTTGAATTTAACC